TTTTATATGGACTGTTTATCTTTATATGGTTTATTTATTCTGAATTAAATTGTTTATTTTATATGGACTATTTTGCATGTTAGAAGGTTACCAATCTAATTGAAATATTCTAGTTGTTTTTTTATTAGTTATCTACTTTCACCAACCCGAGTAACCCGAGTAACCCGAGTAACCCTACCCTACCCGAGGTCACCCGAAACGTCGCGGGTTTGATATATATAACAATTCGAGCACATCCACAAGGTGGAAAATGAAACAATTAGATTGACCATATATAACACAAGTAGTAATTTAAACACCAGAATCACCGTCTCATTATTGGAGACTCTCTGTGAAAAGAGATATTGTGATGCACACAACAAACTTCAAGACCTGTAATTTTCATCTGGCTCCAGTATCTGAAATCAATTACGGGATATTGTCAAAATCAAAGTCATCTCTAATTAAGTACAAATGAAATTTTTAAACATGATTAATGTAATCTGGCCATATTATATTACTAAATTAGCCATCAGAGATTCATTTTCGCGGAACCCCCAAAAGATTTTATGGCTCCGTTTTTACAGCGCACACTCCAATTTGTCATCTTTTTCCAATTAAATTAGCTAATTTCTTTATATATACCAGTAGCTTAATTTAAAATCATCAAGCTGTTAACTAGAACCGCCATTACTACTATATAAGGTAAGAAAAATTTGAGGAAGATACCTGGACTTCACTAAGGTTCACTCCATTTTCCTTGAAAAATGATAGAAACGTTTCGAGACGTTCACTTGTTGTCTGATAATGGCCGGTGAATGGTGAGATAGACTGAGAATTAGTCAAACAATATGGTCGATCAGACATCATGTGTAAGGCTAAGCAGTATTTAACTTTTGTAGCATCCAAAAATAGCCTTATAATTTCCTATATTACATACAAAATTAGGTGTGAATTATATTTATATACGTACCTTCAAAGTTCCATTCTCTGCCCCTAGCGTCCCTGCAACTATCGTGACCCCTCCAGCCAAGAAGCTAGAATGATGGAATCTTCCTCTCTTTTTCTGAAAATTATTCACATGTCATACCGATGAAACATAAGACAGTTTTTTATACAAATCTAACAGGTGACAAATAAAGAGATATCCATGGTTTATTTTTTTTCAAGTCATACCGTTGAAATTTCCCCGAACAAAAAGGTACTTGTGTTCGTTGAAATCTCACCTGACCGACGTATAGTTGCTTAGAGGTGCTCATAACAAATATCGACATGTCAGCTTGTGTATCAAGGACATCTCCAGTTTGTTTGTGAATAAGTTTACCCTCTCTAACAATGTATTCATACTGTTCCCTCTCTTTCTGGAAAAAAAAAA